AAGACAAAGTCCAAGGAGGATTAACATTATTTACAGATCACAAAATCTATCAGAGAGATGAAATTTAAATTTTTATTATTGCATTATACGAAAATTTTAACACATCAGCAGATAGCTATTAATGTCAACAACTAAGCACAAATAGTTATTAATTAAAAAAAGTTAGTAATTAATGTATAATTTTAAATTTATTAATTAATAGAAAATAAAATTAATTCATATTACTCAAATCATAGAAATAAATTAAAAATCAGAAGATTTAGAATGGCTAGAAGTAGAGATCTGAATCAGATATCTTCAGATACATCTTCGTTTTTTATGTCCTCATAATATAAATTAACTATTTTATAGCTTTTTTGTATACAATGGTTTTTTTGTTTCAATAAATATATTTTAAAATGATCCTTTTAATCTATCCAAACACATCACTGAAACTTGGTACTTTTTCCGAATTGTATTTTCTCCCAACCTCAGCTTTTGTGATAGCCCACATTTGCATATCTATACCGTTTTTAGTTGCTAGGAGGAGTAAAACCACTTTGATTTAGCATTTTCGGTTATGTTGCATATAATTGGTTTTACAAACAACTGTATATAATTTTGAATTTTATCCCATAGCGTTGATTTTGAATAATTATTAGAATATTAGATATTACAATTTTGCCAATATTTTATGAATTCACTTTTTTTACTTCATTTTTTAGACACATCTTCAGGAAGACACTTGTGATATTTTGCATTGTCCAATATGATCTGACAATTTTTCATTCCATGTTCATCTACTGGCTTCAATAATATAGAGATTCAATTAATGAAATATTGGTTATCGAACATCCCATGATAATCTTTCCACCTTCCAAATATATCAATAGATTCTTTGATCAAATATGGTAATTTTAATTCAATCTCAATTCTTCTTTTTTACATTTGGATCCCCTTTATAATAGAATTTTATAAAAAAAATTGTAATCCTTTTCTATTCTGTCCATAGGTTCTATGATAAATTGTATTATTAGGGTTCTATAAACGAATCTTCATGTCTAGAATAATTGTGATGAATAAAGCTTTCATCTGGGTAAACTTTCATATTATTATCAGTAATTTTTAAAATATACCCATCACGCTTCAATCTTATCTATTTGGATAATTTAAAAATCTTACTTTTTCTATGACATCTTTTGTATCCAAATTTTTGTAAGAATCTTTGTGTAGTTCTAAAGTTTGCTTTAAAATCATTTCCACCAAAATTAAAATAGCCACGACTTAGCAGAAAAGATATAACATCCTTCACGACAGTCCTTGTTTTTGATAATCTTCTATCTCTAACAAAAGAGTGTATTTCAAATATTGCATCATGCAATATTATTCCTTTTATATCAGGCCTTTTCCATGGGATTCTAACATATTTCAGAACGATCACAAAAATTCATCCAAATTTGATTAACAACATTTTTGCTATGATTTAAGATATACTCCATTTGTCATTTGGATCAACATACTAGGCTTTTCATCTACAACCAACTTTTATTTGTTTTTTTTTTAATTTTCTGCTCTAATTTTACTTTGAACTAATATTATGTCCAATTTTTCTTTATAACTTAGAACCTCTCTTCTTTTTTACAAAATACACTACTTCTTCAAAATCAATTTTAGATTTATGTTCATTCACTCTAACATGTTCTACTATAGTATTTGTTAAAAAAAACTTTTTATCAGATTCTTAGATATTATCCATAACTACATGTACAAGAATGTTTTTGATAAAAGTTAAAAAAATAACCATAAATACATAAAAAATGCATTTATTGTCAAAAATTCCTTTTGATTCAAAGGATAGATCAGAAGCCAGCCTAGAACAGTAAGCATTGTAAGACACTGCTTAGTCTCATGATCCTAAAATTCAGTCAGGGATCAATTAATAATGACAGAAGAAGTCACTCTCACAAAAAAAAAAAAAAAGATGAGAAGGGAGGGAAGGCAGGTCTTAAGTAACAAGGTGGCAGACCTGAACATCCCACTCCTTCTGGTAAGAAAATTACAAAAACCAGTGCTTGGAGCGACCTCACTTTGAAAAACAAGCCATAGCAACCACACAACCTCCCACATCTGATCGCAACCCCATACACGCAGGTAATTTCACTTATTTTTCCACAATATAGCTATTTGTGCTTATTTATTACCTAAACAATAATAATACTGAATAATTTTTTTTAAACATTAAAGTATATTTAATCACATCTCACTAATAGCTGTCATGACCTGTTAAAATACCCAAATAAAAAATAAAACAAAAGCACATCAAAATTATGAGGAAATAACCATCATACTTATTATAAAACCCAGGTGGTGTGTGTGTCTGTACATTTATATATTGGATCGGATTTCCTACATTTTTCAACTGATTTCAACAAAACTTCACAGGACTACGTAAAATTACCTTTAAAGTGGTTCTGACAGCACCAAAAATTGGAAAAACACAATTGTTTTTGCACAAAATCAATTTGAAAACACGATTAAGAGGCATCACTGTCACCAGAATGAAAGGAGGACAACTCATATCGAGTTATACTTATTATAAAAACCACATTGTTTATGTGTGTGTATGTTCATTTATATATAGGATCGGATTTCCTACATTTTCAACCGATTTCAACAAAAAACTTCACTTTTTTTTTTGGCAGGTAGTGTTTCTTATTGTCTTGAACACTTTTTTTCTTTCTTTTTTACATTCAGATGCTTTAAAAATTCCATTTACAAGACAATTGTTTATAATAAAATTCTATTCAATCGGTAGACTCATAACGATTGAAAACAATGTTTTTGAGTTTGGGTTTGACCAATTCATAAAAAAACAAAAAAAAAAAAAATAAAAAACTAATTAAGACATGCGTGTCCGTCAACCTTAAACAATAATCTTTGTCAATTTTATTTTTCAGTCTTTATGATGGTCGATACTTATCTATCTCTTACTGTTACATCTCCGGGCAACACCGGGCTCTACTGCTAGTTACTAATAAAAATTGATATGGCTTTGTCATAAGCTGTATGAGTTTTAGGATGAAATATAATGGCTGTAAAATTGAGTTTGGAAATTTTCTCCACAATAGTGTAACAATAGTGTTCTTAATTTTGACTTCTTGGAGGGGACGTGGTCAATTGTAACTGGAAGTTGGCATAATTCTTGGTTAAAAAGTTAAAATACATATAATTGTAATAAAAAAAAAAATTAAAAAATTGATCAATGACTTCAAATTTCACACTTAAAAAATTCAAACACAAGAGTAAAAAATTTAGATTCTATAGTTTAAAAACAAATTTCAATACTATAGTCAGGCATGTCATCCAAAAAATCATTGCACTCTCCCAATTATGATGGGAATTAATTTTAGCGTGCTAATTCTTACACTTTTTACTTTCTTTTGTATATATTTGTAAAGAAAAAATCTTTTTAAATGTAAATCATAAAACAGTTTCGTCTTATTTATAACCTCTTACAATCTGGAAATCAGTCAAATTGTTACCCCAAACTGAGAGGTAGAATTCACATAAATGTACTTTTCCCCACCAACTCAAAACAAACTGGCCATGAGCCTGACTATAGTAACAAAGAAAACAATTTCAGTCACACAACCAAAAAAGAAATTTAAATAAATAAAAATACTGATAATTAAAATATAATTTTGACACTATGTTGTAACCTAGGGAAGGTTACTGAAATAAATAATCACATGAAGGTTGGTAATGAATGATAATACTTAGGACACGAACAACAACTATAAGATTTGCCAGCAGCACATAGAAGTAGTAGTCAATTGCTAGAAGTGAGTCAAGTGAATTCTACAATAAATCTCCAACAGCAGACCAACATACAGTATTTACTACTGTATTTATGTGAATGGGGACATACCCATTATCATCTGTAGGTATGCTACAACACACTATTAATTAAAGATTAAAAAATGCTAAATTATAGATGATATCAAAATGAATTTCAGGGAATTTGAACAGCATTATGGTTGTGTATTTTAGCTGAGCATGTGTTCACATATGATAAACAAAGAAGAAGCATACAAAAATTTGGGTTTCTCCCATGGACCACTTATTCTCTTTCTATATGAACTGTAGTGAAACAAATATATCTCTTGGATATGTCCATTTTCCTTTTGGTCCAGGAGTTAGGTTAAGTAGGTATAAGCATTTTATTAATGGTCAAGCTCAAGTCATTCTTGTGCAGAGTTGAAACAAACAAAGAAAGGTTTGTACTTACTTTATCATTAGAAGGTATAAACATGGTTATGTGATGTCTGTTTTCTTTTTTTTTAGTCTAGCAGTTATTGTAAGTAAGTATAAGCATTGTTACAATGGACATTCTTAAGTCAGCCTTGTGCTGAGTTGAAACAACCAAAGAGAAAGCTTCAAAATGGATGTTAGCATCAGCCATGCTGATGGAATGCAACAAACGTTCTCAAAGATGATTAAAAGAGAGCAGTTTGATTTTGGAGGTATTAAAATTAACAGGCCATTCCTTATCCCAGTTAATAACAGATTATAGGTCATTTATGGGGAAAGCAAGGTGGAGAAAGAGCCTGAGGAAGGAAAAGGTTTTTCTTTTTATAGACTTAACCAGCACTGCCTAATGGCATTTTGGCAACACTAAGTGCAGTAATCATATTTCCAGTTTCTTTACTCTTAGTATCATGGAAAAATGTATTTCTTTTGATTTTTTTATTATTATTCATCATTATTATTTGTTGATTTTATTTTATTTCCCACAGCATACATGAATTAATTGCAGCTTGGACTCTTACTATTACCCTTTGTGAGCCAATTTATAAACATGTTCAAGAGGATGACTTTGAAGGAGATGGTGAAAACTAAGGGTTAGGGGAAGTGAATTTTTTTTTTTTGATGATCAAATTCCATGAGCTTTAGGATAGCACATCATATCTACAGATACACAATCACATTTTTTTAAAAATCTAAGCACAACTAATTCTTACCTGCTAAATTAGAAGTACAACTACCACACAAAGTCCGGAACTTATCATTATAATTTGGAGGTGGACGGCAGAAAAAATGGTCTCTCAGAGTTATATTCTTATCACTTACTTCACCCACTGAAAAGAGAGACAATAACATATGGTAAGAATTAGGGAGGAAAAAAGGTTAATTTTCCAAGAGTTCCAGAAAACAAATATCAAAATACTTTCACAGAAAAATGTTTCAAATGAAACAAACAGAAATATTATAAGATTTATAGTTGAGGTAATTAAGCATTGATTTGTTGGTTTTGATGATGAGTGTTTCTATTATTTCATATATATATATATAAGTGAACATTGAAGTCAACACCCAGAGGTGACAGTCTGTTCCATACTAAATGCAATCATCAGGCCTGATGAGTGCATTTAGCATCAAACAGAATAGGTTTTCTCTTTTTAATCGAAAACATTTTCATTACCTCAAACATTATTTTTAGTGGATACCTATATTTGAGTAGATGCTCCATTTATTTTAAATAGTATTTATTTCAGTCTACCAGACTGCATACTCAAGAACTTTACTGTTTAAAATAAATAGGGCAACTACTCAAATATAGATATCCAGTAAAAATAATGTTTGAATTAATGTGTATGCGTGTGTATGTATGTATGTATATTTAGGCAGCATTCCCTCTATAATACATGTTTAATTAGAAATAACTTGCAAGGTACTCTACTGTTTAAAATAAACAGAGCAACTACTCAAATATGGATATCCAGTAAAAATAATGTTTGAATTAATATATATATATATATATATATATATATATATGTATGTATGTATGTGTGTGTGTTTATATTTAGCAAACATTTCCTCTGTAATGCATGTTTCATTAAAAATGACTTACAAGGTACTCCATTTATGTTTTTTAATGTATTTTTTGGTATACAAACTAGATATTTCTTTTTTGGCCTTACTGTTTGCAGAAATAGTCCAAATGAGTTTTTGTTCAGACCACTATTATCTAGACAATTAAGCCACATTCAAGGAATTTTGACTATGCTATTGTTATTGATGTGAAGGTTGTTAAGACAAACATATCTCTAATTAATGAATATGGTCTGTAGATTATGGCCATGTTTGTAGTTGAAGTCATTTAGGGTTGGTTTATTACTTTTGATGATTAATGTTTCTATATATATATATATATATTTTTACATACAATTTTAAACAAATATTTTGGTGTTTGTTTACTTTCTTATATATATATATATATATATATATATATATATATATATATAAAAAAAAATGTTTGAATATAACAAATTATGTGATAGTTTCAAAATTTGCAATAATGACAGCTATATATATATATATATATATATATTATGAAAAAAACAATGCATAGGTTAGTGTATATATATATATATATATATATAAGAGTAGGAGATCAAATATAGATGAAGTGTGGATAGCAATCTGAGAAAATGATAGGATAAAGATGCTGTTTCTCACTTGTTTTTATCCTAACATATATATATATATATATATATATATATATATATATATATATATATAGAGAGAGAGAGAGACTGCAAGAGAGAGATATTAAATTAAAAAACATTTTAACTGGTTCTAAATTTAAATCTTACATTCTTAAACTAACATAAGAATTTCAAAATTTCAGCACAAAATCTTTGATTCAGCCATTTGAATTTTTGTTGATTTACTGAATATTTACAAATACATAATTATAATCATACATGGTAATGGGATTTATTCATACTTGCATTCTCATCTTAGTTGCTATAGTCATAACATTTAAGACATTGTACTCTATGGCCTTCTTCATGTATCTGTTCTACAGGACATGTTACCTAATAGATAAAAGTGTCACTTAAGTTGTCACGTTCTCAATCACTGGGTTGAGTAGCAAATGTCCTATATTCTGATTGAGAGGAAGAAAGAAATGACATAGGAAGAATTAACTGAACAATCCAACCTTTTTCCTTTGTTCAACTTCTTTTTTCATTCTTCATTCTATTGGCAACCACAAAAGCATTGAATTTTGTTGTGCTTTAAATATCGTCTTACTATACTCACAAGGTCAGAGGATCAGTGGCAAACAGCTACATTAGATGATTTTACGACATGTCCACCCTTGTTGAATTATTCTAATAGCAGCTTTTGTATGAAACATCTTGTGAGGATCAGTAGTAATAGTTAACCAGACTAGCCTCACCGAACTATTAACCCATGCCAACATGCTTAACGGCAAATTCATAGCCTGTTTAAAATGCAGTCCAAAAACAAAATGGCTATAAAACTATATAAAACAAAACGGGTAAAAAACAATGAAAATGTTTTCAAATTTATCCCTGTCTAAGAAAGAGACAAATTACTTGTGTTGTACTTGGCTAAGTAAAAATTAAATAAAGTTGTACCAGTCAGAACTCCAATTATTTAACTGAAATGGAAGTGCTCAATAAACATCCACAGCTCGTATGACAAAAAAGCAACCTTAATTTTGTTCAGCTCTGTGCACACACTTTGAGAATATCATCCAATAATATCAGAATCATAAACCACTTTTTCTGACCAATCAGAAAAGGCCCACACAGTGTTTTGTTGTATTCATTTTTGAGCCACTGAATCATTATAAAGGCAACACTGATTTCATCCATAGGGGTGGATCTGACTCGGTTGGCATTAACGATAGACTCCACGGCAAGCTTACTCAGGCCATCAGCTGTGAGACCAAGGTGCTTCCATCAACAATGGAACCAGCAATAGTAGAGATTAATTCTCAACAATGCAGTAATTCATGGAATATTTCTCCCACAAGCTTATTTCATTCGACTACATATGAGTGTTGATTTTCAAAATGTAACTTTCTTGACTACTACCTTGTGTTATTGCCTATAAACATTCTCTAAGATGATTAAAAGAGAGTAGTTTCATTTTGAAGGCATTAAAATTAACAAGCCATTTCTTGCCCCGGTTATTAACAGTAATTGTAGGTCATTTTTGAGATCAGCTGCCAAATTGACCAATCAGACATACCATGATAAGTATATGGTACTTATAAGAAATGGATGAGGACACTGTTTTTTTAGGTGTCTTTTTATCTTTGTTTTTGCATCTGGATGAGTGTGTGTTTGAGTGAGTATTTGGTAGATTGACTATTTCAATTATTATATTCAATCCTGTATCATTTTTATCTGGTTAACTGGTGTGTTTGCCACAATTTAAGATTATAGAGGGCTTTTATTACTAACACTATTTTATTTAGTTTTGTAAATAAGATTTTTTCATTGTAAATATGCATTGGAGTTTATTCTTTTTAAATATTGTTTTTAATCACACCCTAACAACAAATTGTACACATGAAGACTAGTTAGGACTTTATAGAAACATTGCAGTATTATGGTAACTGCACTAAGAATGGTAAATACTGTAATTTTCTTGAAATTAATACGCATTTTTTTTTACTGTAAATTACAGGTGATAGTAGGGGTACGTATTACAAATAGGTTTAAACAAAAAAACATTTTTTCTTTATTGATTTATAATAATAAATATGTACTTGTTCTAAAATAAGAAAGATATTATACTAATTTTCATTTTAAATCCAACAATAACAATTTTAACATTTTTTGTCAATAACTTTATGTTTATTATTAACTGCATTTTATATTTGGCGAAAATAATTTAAAAAATCTATAAAAAGGCCAATTTTGAAGAAAAGAGGATATCAAGTTAACAATTTATTGAAATTTTAATTTTTCATCATCATCACCACTTTCTATTATAGAATCAATATCTACATTGTCATTAAACAAATTATCATTCACAATATTATCTTTGTCCCGTTCAAAATTATCTTCAGGCTTTTCTTTCCCTTACCAAAGGATGTCATCTTCAGAGCCATCCATAGCTGTCGTGAGACAACACTTCTTGAAACCTCTTTTCATAACGTCCTCACTGACGGAATCCCAAGATTCCTGATTTCATTTTAAAATAAATTCCTGCTCATGGTAATTTGCGACATTATTTTACATGCTTAGTTTTGATTTTGTTCCTAATGTCAAGGTCAAGAAAATGTCTTCATAATTATTTTTTTTTTTTGACAAAATTTATAGATGCATATTATACATATAGATATATTTCTTAATTTTTGGATCATTTGTTGGGGAGCGTATTATTTATGGGTGCAAATTATTTTCGAGAAATTACAGTAAGAATATGTTGTTTGGCTGCAGGGAACATTGTTGTATTTGGGTCATTGATTGTGGCTAGCTATGTTTAAATATAAGACTGATGAAGACCTGCCTTCTCCCATCCCCCCTTTTGATTTCGTGCCAAATTTCTTGTAAATTACAAAAATTAATATTGACAGATTCATTTGCCTCTGGAATTTATGCTTGTCAATTTCACAGATTAAACAAGAAACCTATCAATTTTATTAAACTAAGTACAACCATATTGATTCTCTTTAAAAAATGAACATCATTTTTTTTTTTTTTGAAGACAAATACATATGTGGACTCAGTGGAAACAGAACTAACAATAACTGAGCAACATTAAAATAAAAAAAAAATGGAATGACAAGATATCCTTAGATATGGAGACAGTAGAATGAGAACAATCTACACCTGTAAATTAAATAAAGGGTTCAGTTTGAAATTCCCAAATGAAGGTCACATGGATCAACAGACACTTGAAGAAGGCTGGAAGGCTCAACAGCTGAAATATGATAACAACAACAAAGATGAGGATATTAGTCCAAATGTAAATAACAATGACTTGTTCACAAATTCAGACAGAAAAGATAAATAAAAAAACATCTTTTTTTTTAAATTATTTCACTCCAAGCAAGGCAATTAAGCCACTAAGATGTAAGAGGGTTACTGAGTGTGAGAGAAAAATCATTATTAAGGAGAAAGAATAAAAAAACAAAAAATTAAGAAGACAGAAGATAACAATTGAAATTGCATTCCAGACATACATAGTATTTACTTACGTTCAATTGCCATCCAGACTTTTGAAATTGGCTGCAGAGACAAATCCAATGTCTGCTCACTTGTAATATTAATGCTCAGTGCTTTGGTGTTAAGAGTTCTCCTACCAGCAACACTTGATTGAGGATAGCTGTGAATGATCAGATCTGGTTTTTCAGAAAGATCCAAAATATAAATGGAGATAGTGCCATTTACAGATGTCTTTATCCGCCATAGACAATGTGTCCCCCAGAGGTTAAGAATACGAGGATATGAATGTGATACAAGGAATGCCCTATGGGTAAGAAGCATTGGAACTTTGTTGTCAGAACATTGGATTCTTTTGCTAGCCTCTGCAAAAAAAAGTAGAGAAGACAAAAATGAGCAAAAAGTTATTAGTAAACAATAAAATATATATTCTAAATAATTAATGGATTTTTTAATTATAATCTTACATATTTCTTATTACTATAAACATTATATTTAATGAAACCGTGTATCTGTTGCAGATCTAAATCAACCCACAACAAAGAAAACAGCAAAAAAGATGTTTAAATATAAAAATGTAAGATATCTATCACATCCTGTATATACACACAGACACAAACACAACACACACACTCCTAATATCTGTATGCATCTTTAAACATCTCTCCATATCTTCCTGCATCACTCCATGTCTCTCTCTCTCTTCACATCTGCCTGCACCACTCCCCGTCTCTCTTCACATCTGCCTGCACCACTCCCCCGTCTCACACATCTTTCTGCACCTCCCCGTCTCTCTACACATCTTCTTGCATCACCCCCGTCTCTCTACACATCTTCTTGCATCACTCCCCCTCTCTCTACACATCTTCTTGCATCCTCCCTGTCTCTCTACACATCTTCTTGCATCACTCCCCGTCTCTCTACACATCTTCTTGCATCACTCCCCCGTCTCTCTACACATCTTCTTGCATCCTCCCCGTCTCTCACACATCTTCTTGCATCACTCCCGTCTCTCTACACATCTTCTTGCATCACCCCGTCTCTCTACACATCTTCTTGCATCACCCCGTCTCTCTCTACACATCTTCTTGCATCACTCCCTGTCTCTACACATCTTCTTGCATCACTCCCCGTCTCTCTACCCACATCTTCTTGCATCACTCCCCGTCTCTCTACACATCTTCTTGCATCACTCCCCGTCTCTACACATCTTCTTGCATCACCCCTGTCTCTCTACACATCTTCTTGCATCACTCCCCGTCTCTCTACACATCTTCTTGCATCACTCCCGTCTCTCTACACATCTTCTTGCATCACTCCCGTCTCTCTCTCTTCACATCTTCTTCTTGCATCACTCCCCGTCTCTCTACACATCTTCTTGCATCACTCCCCGTCTCTCTACACATCTTCTTGCATCACTCCCCGTCTCTCTACACATCTTCTTGCATCACTCCCCGTCTCTCTACACATCTTCTTGCATCACTCCCCGTCTCTCTACACATCTTCTTGCATCACTCCCTGTCTCTCTACACATCTTCTTGCATCACTCCCTGTCTCTCTACACATCTTCTTGCATCACTCCCTGTCTCTCTACACATCTTCTTGCATCACTCCCTGTCTCTCTACACATCTTCCTGCATGAGTCCTTGTCTCTCTACACATCATCTTGCATTATTCCCTGTCTTTCTCTATATCTGCCTACATCTCTCTTCATATCTAACAAGAAATCACTATATAAATTGCACCACAAGTGTTTACCTCAATATGTATGTCTACATTTCATTCTATCTCACATCATACCTACCTGCATCTCTTCCAGTCTTTCCATATCTTACAACCTTCCTGGTCTTTTCATATCTAAATCCCTATCCTTCTCTCCTCACATCTATCTAACACTCCACTCCGTCTTTCTATTTCTAAATTCATCTCTCCTTATATTTATCTACACCACTCCACAGTTTTTTTCCAAATCTACAGCCATCCCTACCCATATTTATCTGAGTTTTCCACATCCCCTCCTGCCATCTACATCTCTCATATATATCTACATCTCTCCCAGTTTTTTTTTCATATCTACCTCCCTCCCTCCTCATATCTATCTAAATCTCACTTTTACATATCACCCCATAAATTGTAGCAAAAAGTTCAATCTTAATATACTGGGCTTCTATCCTATCCATACACACTATCCTTGTCAAACAACCAATTTTCAACGGTGTTAAATAAAAATACCAGTTTGCTTACCAAACATTCACTGTGCAACACATACTGTAACCAAAATTCATATTAAATAAACTTAACACAATTTCTAATTAAATCTAATTAATTTAATGGAATTAAATATGATATTGTTAATGTAAACATTTCACTATATATTAAAGTAATTAAATGTATTAAACTTACTTAACACAATTTCTAATAAAAGCCAATGTAATTAAACAAATGCTATACCACACATAGATTTTGATAGTTGATATTTCTGATAACCTGTTGGAAGTGCAATAAATAGTGCATAACAAATTTCACACAATCTGTTCTACTTATGTATTACTAATATAAAGTTTCATATTTAAAGCTAATGACTTGCCCTCTGCTTTTGATTAGATTGTCAGCTTATCAGCTGTAATATATAGTCAGTCAATTATGTGTCATGCGTGATACACACTTAGGCAATCATGTATCTTTTGATACATGACTGACGAGGCAGATTTTTTCCCCATAGTAGTTTGCTATTTCTTTCTGCGGTAGACCAGTTGCCATCCAAGGCTATAGAACCTGGTCTGTCTTGCTATTTATCCATAGATGGGAGGAAAAGAAGAGGAGTTATACCTTTCCCAAGAGTATTAGATTTGACTGGAATTCGAACTCGGCTTTCCGATTCCTCAATCCGAGCCATTATCCATTACACCACCATGTCTCCTCGTAATATATAGTACTGATTTATAAAAAAAAAAAAAAAAAATTTCATTTTTTTTTTTTTTTTTTTTAAAATGCCATGTCTCTTCAGGACATGGGAAATCATGAGTTTCAGCAGCTTTCACTTATCTGTGAATTGCCTTGTCTCTCTGGGAAAGATGGTGCACTGGTTTCCTGTTGGCTTCTCCACAGTTTGAAATTTAGAGTTTTCATTTGCTTAGACTAGAAAAGCTAGTCTATTCTGATATTTAACTCATCAGAAGAGACATGCCTTTCTCAAGGGCATTTGCATCAAAGTGAATGCAACAGATAAATCCAGAATTTTAATTCAGATTCTCAATATTATTTTTTGTGTTGATAATCATTACACTAACCACATATTGCTAAAATATAAAAATTTACCTTTAAAAATAGGGGCACTATATGTAGGGTAGACAAACTCTTCCAAATTTGAGAAAACCTAAAATCTGTGAAAATGGAAATTTTTTTTATGAAAGTTGTCTATATGCCCAGATTCATTTTTGGCACCAAGATTTAACTCAATGCAAACCACACTTAACCTACCAGCTATGAAAGAAGAGAAGGAACAGAGAGAAGATGGAGAGAAGGGGCAGATGGAGAGAAGAGAATGGACAGAGAGAAAATGGAGAAAAGATCAAGTGAAGGGTCAGAGAGAAGAGGGTCAAAGAGAAAGGATGGAGAGAAGATGAAGTGACAAGATGGTGTGAAAGTTTATCTTTTACTTGAAATTTTTGGGACACATAATGAGGAAACAGGGCATGGAGAATTTAACACTCACATTAAAAGCAAGAGAATCAGAGAGAAATAGCATATATAAGCTTTTGTGAATGGGTGGCAGAGTGAGGACAAAGAGATATGGTAAAGAAATATATATATATGTTAAACCTAGGGAGCCAGACAAAACTACCAAGGTTTCACCTAAGCAGATCATCAGAGAAGGCCAGCTAAAAAGGTAACAAAAGAACGGAATATTTATAGCCTATAAACATAGAAGCATAACCACATGACCAACAAAATAAAAAAGGCCGGTAAATGTTATTTAATACCGTTTATTATAAACAGAGCATTTACTTAAATATTTGTATCTAAAAAAAGAATATTAAACATAAAAATGTCTTAAAATAATTGTCGGACTTTGTCCATTTCATAAAGAAGAGATAGTTTACTGAATTGAAGAGAGATAGATGGAGATACATATATGGTCTGGAGATTCCAAAGACAGTTCCTTAACTAGCGGGAGATGATCACGGACATAAACTCCCAGGCCCTGCATGTGAATTTTAGAGTAAGGAGAGGAAGGTATCTGGGAATCAAGAAATCAGAGAAGGGAGTTGATGAGTTAGGTTAGTCTCACAGAAAGCAAATATATCAGGAGACTTTTCAAAGAGGAATGATTCCACACTGCAGAAGTTGGTACAAATACTATGGATGTTGGAGAAGGAAATGTTAATTAGGTTAGATGTTTTGTTTTTTTTTTTTAGCTGGTTAGGTTTATATTTTTAGTTGTTTACGGTCATGTTGAGTTATGTTGATAAGGAAAATACCAAATGTATTAGTAGCAGTTGTCTGTCAAATATGACATGGACAGAAAAGGAACTGGCACCGACTGTAGCATAATGTGGCCTTGTGGTTGCCCAATGGAGATGCATACAGGGACACCTTTCCATGTGCGATATGGTACTGCAAGAACCCTGATATTATGCAACTGTTGATTAGAGCAGCCTCTCAAGACACTACACAAGAGTTCAGACTCCCAACTACTAGTCAGGAACAGCAACCAGAAAACTGCTAACCCAGTACGCTCAGTATGAGGAAACGTTGCCACAAACTACACACATCACAAGAGATTCATGACAGCACTACTACTAAGGCCAGAGAAAAGGAAAAGGTCCAGAAACCCTTCCTCAACAAGAAACAAGGGATGAACCTCAACTCCTGTTCAAGAAAACGGGGATAAGTATTGACTGGGTAATAGGAAAGACAATCGACTACTATTAAAAAAAAACAAAAAACAATCAACAACAGGCACACATATATATATATATATATATATATATACTGTATATTTCCACATATCAGGAGACCTTTAGATAAGATGCGGTCAAAAAATATAGCAAATTTTTATGAATTCCTCCTATACCCATAGTATAAAATGACTGCTTATTGATTATATAAAGATGATGTTATTGGAAATGTTGTTACTTACTGTATCCTTAGAAAGCCAAAGTAATAAAACTGATTGTATGTTTTTCCTACACACATCCCCTAAAAGGGAAACCATTGTTTTGTTTACTTTTCATCATGTGATCTCATGAGAATACTGATTCTTCTCCTTCTTTCTTTCCGATATCCAAACAGTCACAAACAGTCCAGTGTACTAATGGCCATTTACTTATACTTCATCAACAATCACAAAATACCGTTAATAACAGTATGATAATGTACAATAATAGTGCATTCTATTGCTGTGAATGCAAGCTCAATGTTTACATTTCCTCAGCTGAGCTTGCACAGATAAAGTAGATTTCATTGATATGGAATTATTCTTTGAATAGACAATTTATTATGAAGTTATGCCACTAATATATCAGGTAGAATTAGTTTTATTATTTGCATTATCAGTTTATGTGAATCTTTTCATGTACATTATTGGTTATCGCACTGAGACCGAGGTTAGCCTGTTGACAAACATCACTCAGAATTTAAGGTTTCTATTTTAGAATTGTAGTATAAGATGACCCGCAAATTTTAAGGGTGATTTTGGGGATTTAATCTTTAGCCCTCTGTAGTAGGTGACTTTGTTGAGCAAAAAGTTTGTCCTGTTACTACATGTGACATTGATTATAGAATGATAGTATATTTGAATTTTTAAGTTGTGTTGTTATATCCTGTTATGACAACAGTAAAATTAGCCTTAACTGAAATAAAAAAAAAAAAAAATTTTAGCATCCTTGAAAAAATGCAGTTGGAAATTAAGTATTACCTATGAATAATGCAATGCGTTAAAAGTGTCATCTTATATGCAGAAATATATATTATATATATATATATATATATATATATGATGTCACACATTATGATACTAGGATATAGGTTCGAATCCTGTCGGAGGACGAATATTTTCTGTGAAAATTTCTCAGACATTCAGGCTGGAAAATATTGTTTAATACTGCTTATTATAAACATAGCATTTACTTAAATATTTGTATCTATAAAAAGAATGTATAAACATAAAATGTCTTTATATATATATATATATATATATGTGTGTGTGTGTGTGTGTGTGTGTATGTATGCTGAGAAATTGCTTCCAGATAAATTATATATGAAAATTACTTACCTGGTACACATCCATATGCAATGTAGGTGTCCTGTGGTAGTTGTTTGCAGACAGTAGGTATGCTGCATGACTTTTCCATGTTGCACATGACCTTTAATTCTTTGAGACAGTTTGGGTGGTGATCATTGATTTCGTGACTCAGTAATTTGTGTACAAAAATCACACTTGTGTTTGTACATCTCAAGTTAGTGTCTTCAATACTAGCTGAACAAAATGTTGATCCTGGAAAGAAAAGAAAATGTGGCTTATTATATAGAACTTAAAATCTGGGACAAAGTAACATATAAAGTGTTGGGGAATAGGACCTCAATGAGCAGTGGCAGTGAATCTGATAATTAGTAGATGGTGATGAACATCAAGATTTCCATAAGTCAGATTCTATCTTCAGATCTATTTTAACATTTAAATCTATCTGGGATCTTCTTACTATGTCAGTGAATCAGATTTAAGACACATAAAAGCAATGATTATCCCAAGCTTCTCCATCATGGTTTTTCTTGTTCTGTCAACAAATCAAAAATATGATTTATAGATGTTGATGACAGCAGACAAAGCAATGACATCAGATAAAATTATCCTAATCCCAAATGGTCATGCAAAGTCCAGAAAGAGCAAAAAACAGAAAATGTCTCATATTTAACATTGAAAAACATAAGGAAAAAATTAATTATTTTTAATAATATGTGGAAATCTCCACTTTTACCTGAAGACGGTCGCAAGACCAGAAACACGTGTAGTAAAATTATGTAAAACAAAGCATAATATTTTTTCTAAATAAATCCACATTACAACCAAAAACTTTGTGGCACCTCTCTTCTCTTCAATATATATATATATATATATATATATTAGTAATAAATAAAATTAAATACCCATTTGTCTCTATTCTTAGTTTCATGGAGATTACACACACACACACACACACACCTCAGGAGACTTCATAAC